AGTAAGGACGACAGTTCCCCACCCTCTATTAAAAACAAACTCCTTTTTCCTATATCTAACTTAGAGTGGCACTTAAGCTGACCAGATAGCAAGTGTCAAAAATCAGGAAAGAGTGTGTGTGTGTGTGTGTTGGGGGGGGGGAATAGGTGCCTATGTGAGAAAAAGACCCCAAAATCGGGACTGTCCCTATAAAATCGGGACATCTAGTCATCCTATTGGTACTTCCTTACAGCTCCCTCCTCTTCCTTGGCTGGTTCATTGAGGGGTTTCCCTCTTGTTTCAATCTACTCTAGCTACTACTTTTTATTACATAATGATTGCCTTCGCCCTTATATTTTTTAATGATATTTATAACTAAAGAAGATGACACCAGAGCTGAGCAAAGAAAGGTAGTTTCACGGGAGAATTTAGATTTTTTTCAAAATTTGATTTCACTGTATTTCAGAACAAAAATGAAACATTTTGCAATTCTTCATGAAGGGAAATGGAACCCTGGGTTTGGCATAGTCTGCATGATGGGCTGCCCCAAAGCCAAGGGCCTGAGAAGCCCTGGGAACCTGGGCTCTTGAGGAACCATTAGCCTGGGAAGTTGGGGGCCAGATCACTTTCCAGGGCTGGCAGGCTGCCGAGGTGTCATGAACCTGGAAGTCTTGGGAACCCAGGCTGCCAAGGAGCCACAAACTTGGATGCCGGGACTTCCATGGCTTTCAGCTCCCTGGCAGTGGAGCAAAGCAGGTGATCTGGGAGGAAACCAGCCAAGATTCTAATACAAAGTCATTGGAGTCTAACAGCCTCCATTAAACATTTCTATTTAGATGAAATGGCAAATTCTGACAACAAATATTCTGTCTGAATTTTTCCCACCAACTTGAAATGACACCATCATTTAAGTGTAAGCAGTATCAAGGACAATAACGATGTTGAAACAAATGTGAAACACTTTTGAAATGTCTGTTTTAATATAAATTTGAAAACAAGACATAAAAACACACTTTAAAGTTAAGGTCCAGATGTGGATCTTAATCTAAACTACCCCAGAACTTTGGGAAAATTCAGATTAGTTCTGATTTGGTTTTCAGTCCATTATATTCACTAGACCTGAATCATGATGTTTATATCAGCATGCGTATCTAGATCATAAATTTCCTTAGAAGTGTTTAGGTGTGCGGTTCTGGTTTGAGTCCATCTCTGCTATATCCTTGTCGTCCTTGCCTTCTCCTTTTCCCATCCATCAGGGTTAGTGGCTCTTGTTTTTCAGCTCCAAACATTTTTGTTAAGTGCATCTTCAAGCTGACACCATACTTCTTCGTATCGTCTCAAACCATTCTTTCCTAGGTCTTCCTCATGGTCTTTGTCCTGTGACTGCTAGTCCTTGTGCTCCCTGGCCTACATATTGCACGTCTCATGACCCTGCTATCTGAGTGGATACTCTCTCCGCTTTTCTGTGATCGGTGCTACCTTTATCAGGGCTCATACCATTTCATTGCATAGCCTATCAGCTCTCATCTTACTTAGCATCTACCTAAGCTTTCTCATTTCAGCAGTATGAAGTAGTTCTTCTCTCTTTGTTCTGACCCATAGATCTTTGGCCTAATCATGATCTTATACACTTTGTTTTTTAGGATACTTGGCATATTCTTATCATCAAGAATTCCCATCACCTCCCTCCATTTACACTAACTGCTCTTCATGTGGGTAACATTCACATCCATGTTCCCCTTATGGTTAAACACTGAAACAAGGTGTCAAAGTTCAGGGCAGCTGTATCTGTATTTCCCCTTAGTGGTCTATGAAAGCACATACTATCAGGCTTCTAGTCCCCTAGACTTTGCCTTCACAAGTGGAGAGCCACCTGTTTCTCCTTCCTAATCAGGTATTTTCACGCTCAAGAGTTCCCTGACTTCACTGTTATTCCCAGCAGGCCTGCTTTGCTTCTCCCCTCAGAGACCGTAAACCGTGTCATTGCCCCAGTTAACAGTTACCACAGTGTTCTTCCTAAACAAGCATATTTTACTCTTAAGGTAAAAGCACTACAGAGAAAACACATTTAAAAACAATAAAAGAACCTACACACATGCTAATAAGCTTGCCAGAGATCACCCTCAACTCTATAAAGGCTCTGGCTGGAGTCAGTTGTTCCAAGCCTTCCCTAAGGATTGGGGCTTTCCATGGGTCCTATCCATTTTCTTGATCAAAACAAAGGCCCTGAGTCAGTTTAAACTGAGCCTATGTATTCAAAAATTCTTTTTGTCTGTTGGTTCCGAGAGAATCTAGTCTGAATCTTTGAAGAGACCATGAATAGGTAATGAGCCAGACAATGGCAAATATTTTGTAAGCATTCAGACAATGGGTCCTCTCCCCAGTATGAAGCTTCAAAAGGCTGATAACCAGATGAAGTATATTAGCAAATCCCCTCCTCTGAGAGAAGTTACCTACAATTTCACAGTAACTTACAAACAATTACGTTTTTAATACAATAACCCAAAAGGAATTAAACTTAATTCAAAACATTTGTCCAGGAAATTGCCATCTGTCAAATGAACTATTTAAAGTGTTGCATAGTCTTTAACTCTATACCATCCAGTTTTACGGCTTCTCGTAGTCCCTCCCAATGAAGCATTGCATGTATTCTGTTTTTTGGCTAATTTGTAAGCCACTTTCTTCTAATGCAGCTCTCTATAGTTCTAGGTCCCTTTCCAGTTTATATTTATCTTCCTGCATGTCATCAGCAAAAAGCATGCTCCATTGAGCCTCTCTCCTTATATCCTGTGTCTTGGTGCTCATTTACAATCACATATGTGGGCTTCAGGCTGATCCTTCATGTAAATTTCTGTGAATGACCCACTGTAGTTGCAGCTGCTTCTTGCTACGGTTGTACTACCTTTGTACATGTTCATGATAGACTGAGCATGTGTCTCTGGCAGACTGCATGACCTCATGCTTTACTATAACAGTTCTCTAGGAATCCTGTCTAAGTTTTCTCTAAATCCACCAAAACTAAGTGCAATTCAGTGTTTCTCTTGGTACTTCTCCAGCAATATTTGGGGAGCAGACACTGTAGCCATTGCTGACCAAATGGGCTGTCACTTACTTGATGCTGCAATTCCATCCAAAGTATTTTCTTGATAATTCTTTCCAGCCAGTTCATCATGTGACTCATTAGCTTGATGGGTCAGTAATTACTACATTCTTGTACATCTCCTTTACACCTGAAGATGGGGACCAATGTGCTCTTCCTCCACTCATCCAGCATTTTTCCAGTACTGTCAGGATTCAGAGCAAAGGTAGGCAGGACTAGCAAGAGCTAGGAACTGAAGCCAAGAGTCAGAGAAAGTATCTGAGTCAAGATGAGGGTCAGAACCAGAGACAGAATTAGGAAGCAGGCTAAGAGTCAATATCAAATACTGGGAATTCAGAACAGAGAAGCAAGGCAGTTGGGGCAGCTAGCTAGAGATCCGTGTTGTTCCCTGGACAATTTCTGGTATGCTGCAATGTCTTATAGAGAATCAATGATTCAATCGGGGATCACTAAGGCAACTGTCAATCAGATCGCACAAGAGGTTAGCTTCCTGTGGTGTGTAATTTCTGTGGATTGTGGGTCATGGAGTGGCCAGGTTACAGCTGCCAATACGTGGAAATGTTGGTTGCCTGGCATCTCTGAGAGCCCAGGTTCAAGTCCTGCCGATCCTTACAAATATGGAGAGTTTGTCATTACCACCATTCCCTCATGACCTAATACTTTATAAGCTTCAACTGGTACACTGTCCAATCCCACTGCTTTTCCCCATCATGTGAGGTTGTTGCTTGCACATATTTCCTTCAACAGTTTCTTCACTTCCTCTTCATTGACCTGTTTCTCATAAAACCTCTACTATCTCCTAATGGTTTCGCTGTCTTCCACCAGTACTCTTCCATTTTTATCTTTAGAGGTCCCAAGTCCTTTATGCTTTTGTGCCTAGTTTATATATTATCCCCCTCCCCTTCATTGGTAGTCCTGCATGTAAGGTTTTAAATGCCTAATCTTTAGCTTTCACCACAGCATTTTGCTGTTTTCCTTACCAGCTTGTATTCCTCATAAACTTTACACCAATCTTATTTTTTGCCACCTTTCCTCCTTTTTCATTGCCTCCTGCACCACATCTCCTTCTCATTAAATTTCTCTCCTTTCATTTGGCCACAGGCAGCTCGTGCACTTTCTGTAATTTTGGATATCTTCCTCCAAAACTCATTGGTATCTGAGTGTTGGCTTGGTCATTGTGCAGCTTCCATAGGCCCTCATCCTTAAATCTCAGACTAACTTCTCTACCCATGCCTCTCTGCCACTTTATCCTTTGTTCAACAACTTTTCTTTTGTCCTCCACTAGACTTTTCATCCTTACATCCATTACAAGCAATCTATGTTGGTCTGCAATCTGCTCTCCTGAGGTTACTGTACAGACTCTCCTGTTTGTTTAAATCTTTTCCTATTGTTAGGAAATAATTGATCTGAGACTTGTTGCTACTGCTCTTTATATAATTAAATATACTTCTCCCTCCATACAAAGTACATCTTGGCAACAATGAGACCATGGGCTCTGGTTACACTAAGATATCCTCATCAGCTTCATTTCTGGTTCCAAAGCTTTGTCCTCTATCACAATCATCGTAGTCCTCATCATAGACATGTATTTTCCCACATGTCTATGAGATCTGCTCCAATAATCAAGTGCTCAGCTTGCAGCACTTCACTAATCACTTACCCAACGCTATCTGGAATCCTTCATTCTCCTCTATTTTACAACCAGCCTGTGGTTTACCTACATACAACATTAAATATTTGTTCTCTGTTCAGTGCTATTCTTTCATCAGCCAGTCTCACTTCATTTGGAAGCCACTACCTTGTTCTTTAATATTCTGCTATGATTATTCCTGTTCCATTTCTTCTTGTCTACTGTACCAATTTTGAACCTTCTCTATGATGTCAAATAATAGAGACTGGTAACTATTTCGTTTTGTTACAGGGAAAGGTGAGCATGGAAAGCCATATCCTCTAATGGAGGATGACCGAGATGATTCTGCTTATAGGGAGAATGGCTTCAACATACTTGTTAGTAACAACATAGCCCTGGAACGATCACTGCCAGACATTCGACATCCAAAGTAAGTACACTATATTTGATCAAAGATTTCACTCTATGTATTCACTTGTTGTGCCTTTCTGATGAAGTACCCCCCAGTCTAACAGGAAATATGACTATGTAGCTATGGTGCTGTGTAATTTAGGTATTTTGTCTAGGTTGGCCAAAAGTAGATATAAAACTATTTGCTGGAGTTAAATGGGCAAGCAGTGCACTAGTTTGGCAGCCTTATGTTGAGCGGTTGAGAGGTTTTTGGTTTGTAGTTTTTATTTGAATCTGATTTGATCTCACAATACTGTAAGCTGGATCTGGGTGAATCCTGCAAACAATTTTAGTGAATATTAACTTGTATTTTTAAACAAGCTTTCACTGTGATTGTGCCCATATCCCATTTCCCTGAATATTCTACTTGTGTTCCATGGCAGAAATGTTCTGTCCATGACAGAAACTATAAATTTTAAGTGAATAGTGAATATTCTGAATATCCATCAACTTATGAGTTTGTTTGATTATGTTCACTAGGAACCTGATTCTAATAGTTCTGTTCTGTAAGTTTTTAAGCAAATAATGCAGAATATTCAGAGAGTAAAATTTGACCTCATAAACACACATAATTGTGCTAGAAACCTGATTATAATTGTTCCAGTCATCTAGCCAGGGAACAGAAATATACTCATATAATCAATTCAAATTTCAAATGCTGACTCTTCACAACAAATGGTTTACAATCTACATTACAAGGAATATTTGAAGAAAATAGTGAATCATTTAGAAAAATTAAGGAACTTGAAATCAAAATCTGATAATTTCTGATAAGAAAGAGGTAAGAATTGTAAAATATTTTTTCAATTTATCTAAAAAGCTTCCTTTAAGATAAATTTGCATATCTTTGAAATAATAATGCATCTGTACATTTTTTAAATGATTCTCCAGGATTTCATTTTTGCTCAGAATGCTTTTCTATTTACAGAATGATTTCACCCTGAGTTATCAGGCAGTATTTTATTAGACAGAGATAAATGTCATAGTCTCATAGAGCCTCCTGCTGCTATTGTTAAATGAGTTTGAAGAATCCCAGCCAATCTTTAGTGGGGAAGGGTGATAAGTCCCATCAACAGAAGTAATGATAGACTGCGGTAGGGAAAATTTGATGCAACCAGCAACAGTTTAGGATACTATGTAAGGGGAAAAGAACAAGAATGGATGACTAAATAACTTTTTAACCTGTAGTGGTCCCTCACTCTCAATGGGGAGGGAGGTCACTCCATCTCCCTCCATCAGGCAACAGTAGTCTGACTTGGGCCCCACTGGTCAGGGCCGAGCAAAAAGCAAACTACAGCTTGCAGTCTCCTGGCTGGGGCAAACAGTTAAATCTGGGGCTCTGGCCTGATCCTCGGGCAGAGCAACAAGCAGTCTTAGCGCTGAGCCTCCTGACTAGGGCTGACAGCAATCAACAGTCTGGGCTCTGGCCCTCTGGGTTTAGTCTTAGCCAGGAGACTCTAGGCTTATATTTACAGTACAGACCTTACAGTAGCACAGCTATTCCAGCTGGAGAGAGCTCTCCTGCTGACCAGCACTTTTGTCGATCATTTTATGTCAGTCAGGGGTGTATGTGTTTTTTTCATACTCCTGACCGACAAAAGGCAGACAGCAATCTACAATCTAGGGCCCTGGCCCTCTGGATGGGGCAGAGAAATAAACAGTCTTTAGACTTGAGCTTCCTGGCTAAGGAAGACAGCAGTTAACAGTCTGGAGCCCACAACCAACAATCAGGGTACAGGCTTTCGGACCAAGGGTGAGTGTGCTGTCAGTCCTCAAGTGTGGAGTAGCAGCAAAGGGGATAGGGAGACCTGGGCCCAGCTTACTCCACCAGATCCCAGCCCAGGGCCCTATTACTGGTGGGTGGTCCTGCCACTGTGTTGGCGGGGAAACTGAAATCTGCTGCCTGGTTTCTCAGCAGCACAACCTGACCAAAGTCTTGTTATCCTGGTCTACTTCCTACCTCACTTAGTCGGTGTTGCTCCATCGAGCTGGGGCTCTGTCTCATCGCCTCACCATTAGGCAGTTGCAACTTCAGCCACTCGTTGGGGTCCTCTGTCTCTTCACTCAGTAGGGCACTGGTCTGCTTGGCTGCTGGTCAAGGGTCTCTCAGAAGGCTCAGTTCTCTAGAAGAGACGTCCATCTCCTTCTGTGGTGCAGCCACCACTGAACTGCAGGACACTCTCTTTATATTTGCTGCCCTGCCCTGGTACTTCTGGTGAGGGTTTGGCTCCACCCATCAGCAGGAGGGTAGTCATCCCTCGCTCTCAAGTTCAGAGGGAGGCCACTGTGCCTCACTACAACCCCTAAAAGGCCCCATTCCCACTTTTTTGCAGTCATTTACCTCTGGCAGATTATCGGCTCACTTTTGGCTGGGTGGAAAGAAAATATCAGAAAAGTTAATAAATGTTTCCTTTTCATTAGAAAGTTTACCATTTACAACTCACTATTAGGACACTATTTCTCACATTTTACACAGAACTATCTCTAATAAAATAAAACTTTAAAATTGACCACTCCTATACATTCATGCATCACTGCTGCCAGTACATCATATATTATTTGTGTCTGATTGGCTTTGCAAGTGTCTGAAAGATCATAAGCAACTTGTACCAGGGAACCTATCTTATTTAATTGCAAAGAACCAAACACATCAGTGGTGACGATAAATAATAATTAGATCTAGCAGAAACTTTCAAATGCTGATTTGTTTGACCAAAGGGGCACATTTTTTAACCAGCTCTCATAATATTGACAAGTATTGTGAATGTGGGGGCAAACCCAAAAACCTACTTAAAAACTAAAATGTAAGTGATATTTTTTCCCATGTTGTCTTCAACTCACAATTGCTAAAAATTTCCCCTTCATCCCTGTTCGATGGCAGCCTTAAACTCCCCCTCTGTTTTTCCTTTCTCCATCAGTTACCTCTTCAACATGGAATCATTTCTGGTTTTCATGCCAGGAAGTCTTTACCTCAATCTACTACTTTCCTTTCCCCCTACTCTTCTTTAGTAACTCTTACACCCACTGCAGGACAGACCAGCTCTGTCCTTACTTCACCACCTCATGATGCATCAATCCCAAGGAAAATGGTCAGTCTTGAAGGTGTATAAACTCCTCAGGACTGGTGTGCGTCATATGAGGTAATCATCTGTTTTGAAATTTTCAGAGAACTGAATTGAATTAATAACACTGGATGGAAAATGGTGGGGTGGGAGGTGAGAGGAAATCACAAAAACTGAGAATTTCTTTATAACAACCTTTAAATTCAAAAACAAGGACACAGACTACATAAATGCCAACACAATCAGGTAAATAAAGAATTTCAAAATGTATGGAGGAGGAATTAACCTAAGGAGAATTCCGAAAAGAATGTATTTTATTGTTTTTCTATCTAAATACCATATTGTGTGTATTTATTTTAAAAAGCAAACAGTGTCCTTGTAGGACTGTATATTAATTTCCATATCCCAATGTTGATTGGCATAGGATTAATGCAAAGAACTAACCCTTTTTTCCTAAACTGTACATTTTAAATATTTTGTTTATGCCTTGTGGCTGGCCAAATTATCCCCAGGTTGCCGGAAATTATCTTCAGCAATTCCCACTGGCCAAGAATGTTTCCACTAAGATGGCATTTTAATACATAATTGCACAGCATCAGTCCCATTAAATTGCATTGTTGGCATGATAAATATTCTCATAAAGGAACCTTCTTTCCCCAACAGAATATCTTAATTTGTGTTGGTGTTCAAAAGAGTGTGAATGGAAACAATGCAGAAAATCATTAGAGACAAAATGAAGTTAAAGTGTCCATTTCCCCTGTTTTTGCCAGTATATCTGCTAGTAATTTTGTTTTTCACCCACTACTAGTCACATGGGGCACGACATTTCTCAGAATCTCCCCAGAAGCAAGGCATTGTCAGCAGTGACTTATTAGGAACCAGTCAGCACTATAGTGACTGATTTTTCTTTTTCTTAATAAGTGACTTTCACCCCAACTGCCTCATTTGGAAAACCACAATCCTCAGGCACCCAAATTATTCTCCTGTTCTGATTCAACCATATTATTATACTATTCAGTGTAGCCCTGTACGATTGATTAGGCTTGGTAATAGCTGTATGAATTGATTTGCAAAAGCAAACAAGGCTTAACCCTGACAGTCTTACTCACGTTATATAGTACCTTGTTACACAAGTCGTCCATTAGAAAACTGACTGCCCCAAATAGCTTAGTCTAAAGGAGAGAAATGATTTCCTGTGAAACTACTTGTGCAGTAAGATAGGGTTACCATATCTAATAAATAAAAAAAGAGGACCCTCCATGGGCCCTGGCCCCGCCCCTTTCCCACCCCTAGCCCCGCCCCGGCCCCGCCCCTTCTCCACCCTAACTCTGCCCCCTCCTCCCTCCCACTCCCAGCCACAGGGAAAGGGCTGACCCAGCGCTACCAGCTTCACGGTTTGCCGGGCAGCCCCCAGACCCTGCGCCGGCGCTTCCCCAGCACAGCTGGAGCCCGGGAAGGGAAGTGCCTGGCCCGTGGTTCGGGGTCCGGAGGCGGGGGCGCTGCCTGAAGCCAGTAGCGCTGGCTCGGGCAGCTCGGCTCTTAAAGTCTGAGAGGGGAGGAGCGGAGCAGCTCAGCTGGAGCCCGGGAAGGGAAGTGCCTGGCCCGCGGCTCGGGGTCCGGAGGCGGGGGGGCGGCCCCAAGCCCGGAGGGCGGGGGCCGGGGGG